TCTCTCTCTCTCTCTCTCTCTCTCTTTGTGAATATATCTATATATACATCTGGTGTGTTGGTGCCCACCGTGTGATATCAGTTGTCGGGCAGTTGTTAATTCTTAACCACAACCGGGGTTAAGGTGGATTATCACTTACAGTGTAATCAGTTAGGGGATTCTGCAGACTATTGAGGGTTCAGCCTCTTGATGAGTCGGTGAAACCTCAACGAAACAGTTCGTCACAGCCCCTCGCTTGTTGTCCTCTTCTCCCTCTCTACCTACGGTTTACCGGCCAGCTTTGGTTGACGATATATATACCCACTGTCCCTATCTACCATCTTGCGAAACCACAACCAAGGGAACGGGCTTGGAAGAATAGGCGGGGAAAGAAAACCCTGTTGAGCTTGACTCTAGTTCGACTCTGTGAAATGACTTGACAGGTGTAGAATAAGTGGGAGCTTTATGGCGCAAGTGAAATACTACTACTTTTAACGTAAATCCCCCGAGTGTAGTTTTTACTGCTACAGCTTCCTCTCCTGCAACTCCAGTGCAAAGAACATCATAGCCTCTCTGACACTCACGTCCTTTATTCCGAAATCTTGCCCAATCCACCCCCCTCTCATCTCTGTCTGTGCTTGGGCGCAGACGGCTGCGTTCCTCCTCACCACCCCCATCTCCTCCACGGTCTCGCTTCTGAACAGACTCTCTAGTTTCCATTGTTCCCATTGTTCCACCTTCATTGCTAGCGAGCGACAAGTTCATCTTCTGTTTGCAACACCACTACTCCTCTTGTTGTGTATTACCGACGACATCCACGGCATCGCCACTTGTCCGGGGATCAGCAACCTGTTTCTTTGTCTGCCCCGATTCTCTCTATGTCTCTTCCACAGGTCGTTGCGGTTCCATTGTTTCAAACAACAATATCCGCTCCTATGCCTCCTGCAGACAATCCAGCTGCCTGCAGGCAACCACAACACCATTTTATTTTATTTTTTTTAACAAAACATTCATTATGTTTTATACCCTGCGGCGTTAATATTCACGACTCACCTGTACAACACGATGTCGTCCCTCGCCAGAGTACGCTCCCGACTCCAGGGACAGTCCCTACTCAGGATGCAGCCCTAAACGTTGAGGGATTGGAACATGATCTGCCCGGATTGCAGTTGACCCCACAAGGCGTAGACCACATGGGGGATCTGCAAATGGCTGACCAGCATTGTTCGGATGAACCACAAAATTGTGCTCCGCCACGCGCAGACCACATGGGTGATCTGCAAATGACTGACCAGCAAACAACCCAACACAGTTTGGGCTTGCAACACCATCTGGGTGATCTGCAAACTATTGGCCAGCATCCAACAAACCAGCCTGAGAACCTATCTTTGTGGTCTGACGACAACTAATATTTGTCTTCACATTCTCCACCGCCCGTTTTATTCACCATCAGACTTCCCTGCAATCGCCCTTCAGCTAGATGCTGATATTCCCCAACTACAACCAGAGGATTGTAATTATACCAGCGAAGGAGGCTTTACCATTGCTGACCTACAAGTAGCAATGAGGGACCCTCAACTTGAACTACGCAATGCTTGAGCAGGTGACTGGTTTAATCCTCCATCCCACATCTCTGCCTGCATTGTGCACAGGCCTGTCCATTACATGGCCATTGTACATGCCTCTGACCACTAGGAGTTGTGGGACAACGGCACCATGGTCCATGCTATGGCTGATGTCACTGATTTTTTACAGAATGATGCTTTTTCTTGCCACAACAAAACGTCTGCAATCTCGTTTATGTCGAAGATCACTCCTCTGGCCCCGTGCTGCAGCAAGACAATGTACGAACACTCTGCGACCTTCTCCTTTGGACAGCCACAAACACTGTTACACTCGGTTGTAGCCGCCATTATCTCTGTCACAATCACTACAATGACATGGTTTCTGCATCCATGTGTGCAGAGGACTGTCCCTCCGTTCCTGACTGCAGGCACCCTCTGCATCCAGACACTACATGTCCATTTTGCGGCCATGGCCGCTATACTGAATGCATTGTCTTTTGTGGTGACTGTTCATCCTTCATTTTGGCCTGCAATCGACATGCCATTTGTAGGGGGTGTGTGGTGGACATGCTCAATGCCAACCGTCGTGTTAATTGTCGCACTGAGAATGCTCAGCTAGGTCTTCCATGTGTTCATCCACCCCATCCTTACAATGTATGTCCTCTCTGTCGTCAAGGACAGAATCATTCTGGAGCCTTTTCTTATCCTCTTTTGCCTTCATCTTCACTCCGCGCTCCGTACTTTCCCTTACTTTCCCTTTATCGTTCTTTGTTAGTCTGCTCTCCATCTCTCCTCCCTGTGTTTATCCCCTCCCCCTTCACTCTGCCTCTTTCTCACAGCGTACAAGTGGGCCGTTATGGTACACGAGGATGGGGGCAGCTCGCGCTCAACTTCATCAACGTGGCGAGCCCTGTACGCGACAGGCATGGTGAAGGGGGAGTTAAAAGAAGAATGAGAAAAATGAATGGTTTCAGTGTGCCCTTCATGTTTGTCTTATTTTTTAATTTTTTGTTTCTGCCGTTTGTTTCGCAAAGTGCGCTCGTTTAGTCTAGTTCATAGTTATGTGACAATATGTATATATATATATCCTTTTGGTACGGGAGATCGTGTGTTTACATTGGCTCCGATGGTCGAGTGAGCAGGCATGTTGCATGGAGAATCTGTCGGATACACGAGTACATCTTGATGTGTTGCCGAGTCGATTGCAGGGGCTTGACGTTGTGCTGTGTCACAAGGCTCCTCATATCGACATCAGGCAAACGTCAGGCCAACTCAGACAAGAAAAGCCCCAATCTTTTTTTTTTTTTTTTTTTTTTCCTTATCTTCAAGGGAAAAGACAGAAAAACAGGGCTTTATGGTCCTGGCTCGATTCTACTCTGGAGAGTGGATGTTCCTTATCATGCTGTGTTCTTGACGTGCCGCTACTTATATATGTGTTTCAGGGGAATAAACGCAAGGATATATGGCTTTCCACCGGATGACGCAGTGGTGACTGCCCGAACACAGCTTATGGCTATGACGGAGGAATGGCCCAAGGTTGAAGATTTCGTATCGAAGTTCGAACCCAGGTTTGTGCTCCGGATTCCATCAAATGCAGGGATTGCTGCATCTGGCGAGACTGCTCAAGCTGGCATTCAGAATGTCATTGATGCAAAACAGAAAAGTGCAGCCGCTGCCGAGGCTGCTGCTGCTGCGCAGCGAGCGGCGGACGCAGCAGCCACTGCTGCGCAGGATGCCGAAAAAGCCCGTGCAATGGCCGTCGAAGCGGCCAAGCAGTTGCTTCGGACGAAGATGGCAGAGATCGAGGCATCGACGATGCTGAAGAAGCCGGGATCCAAGGAAGACGATCAAGCTGCGAGGGACCTGCTCGCTTTGCAGGCGAGCCAGGAGGCTGCCAAGCAGCTGCTGGAACTTACCGCAGCCTCGGAGAACTGTGAAGTTGCCTCTGCACAGGCTTCTATAGCGGCGTCGGAGGCAGAGCTGGCATGGACTGCATGTGCTGATGCAGGTATGGGTGCACAGGCAGCGGAAGAGTCGAAGCTGCAAGCTCTTCAAGCAGCCGAGCTGGCAACGTCATCATTGCGTAATGCTATCCTTCACAAAGAGAAGGCCGAGCGCGCTCTTGCAGCGACAAGAGCCGTGATCGCAAGAGCAAACGAGATTGCCGAGAGCAAGACCATTCTGCTTTCCATCCTCCGACCGGAGAGCACTGGCAAAGGCAAGGCGTCTGCGAATGTGCAGGCTATAACAGAGGAGAAGCGCTCGTCACTGCTACACGATTTAGAAAAGGTAACTCGTACAAGAAAACAGATCTTTGGTCCGGATGTTGCCGTTTGCTGGAACAACTACATGCTTATGAATACTTGGTTTATAGTATGGCATGCAAGGGGAGAGAGAGAGAGCTGTCTCTTATACACATCTAGATGTGTATAAGAGACAGGATCTGCAAACTATTGGCCAGCATCCAACAAACCAG